GTTTTTTATTTTTAAAATATTTTTTATTGATTTCAGAGAGGAAGGGAGAGAGATAGAAACATCAGTAATGAGAGAGAATCATTGATTGGCCGCCTCCTGCATGCCCTCTACTGGAATCAAACCTGGGACCCTTCAGTTCAATGCTCTATGCACTGAGCCAAATCAGCCAGGGCTAAATATCTTTGGTTTTTTAAAAATAAATTTGTAAAAGTAGGGTACCAGTTTAAAAAATATATAAATAGAATTCTCTCTTTTCATTTTAGATGGAAATTATATGACAGAATATTTGGGTAACATCTTCCTGAAAGATCTTCAAGGACTACAGGTATTTTTAATTTAGAAATTAACTCTTCTTCTAAAGGAAAAATACCATAGTTAGGTTCAGTTGTTAATTGGTGGTTCTGCCATATAAACCAATTTGTTAAAATTGAAATTGCAAGTATTATATTTATTGTCCTCTTATTGTGATTTTTTAAAATTGGGCATTTATAGTTAATATCAAACTTAGATTCACTGGCTTTTAAAATTTATTTTATCATTAAAACCTGGCTCTACAGTCCTTTAGACTGGTGACATATTTGGTATATATGTATTCTAAATCTTTGTTTTAATTATGTTTGTTTTTTTAAGAGAAATTATCTACTCCAAATAGCCTTTACATTTGTATTTAATCAAGATTTGGTTGTGTAAATTATTTACATACTATTCAATTCAAATGCTCTTGCATTTTAATGTTCTGTTAATTTCTAATTTAAGTCATTATTTGATACTGTTCTTTGCAAATGATCACTTGAAATAGTACTTGTGCAGAGAAGTTAATGGGTATTGGCCAAAATCTTTGAGTTGAAGTTAGTACTTGTGATTATTTTGCTTTCTCCACTAGTGTTCCCCGTTCATTTTTATGTAATTGAGTAACATTCTGATCTGTGAGGTTTTTTCAGTAGCTGTTTTCACTTGAACTCTTTACCCTAAATGGATTCTGGTTTTCCCTAGCCTTGATCCTGCTAAGACAGAAGAATATCTGTAGTTTTCCTTCTCTGTTAGGCCAGTTTCTTTGCCTCTAAGCAGTGCTTTTAAAGGATCAGTAAAACACTTTAAGACTGAGTCAGCCCTGGCCTGTGTGGTTCAGTTGGTTGGGAATTGGCCAGTGTACTAAAAGGTTGCCAGTTCGATTCTGGTCGGGGCACATGCCCGGGTGTCGGGCTTGATCCCTGATAGGGGGCGGGAAGGAGGCAGCCGATCCATGTTTTGCTCTCACACCAATGTTTTTCTCTCCCTTTTCCTTTCTCCCTCTCTAAAAATAAATACATAAACAAATCTTTAAAAAAAAAAGACTGAATCAGTTAACTTTGCTGACTAGAGGAGTGTGTTGACGAGCTATGTGGCTTTTATTTTTTTCTTTTCTAACTATGCACCTGCTTTCCAGATATCTGAGAGCAATGTCTATGAAATAGTCATATACTTTCCCTAGATATTATACTTGGTAATGTGTCCCTATTTACGTACTGTCTCTGTCACCACTAAGTGGGCATGACCAGCAATGAGATGTTAAACTTTGGTAGTTATCTTTAGGTTGCTTCCCCTGTGGGCAGCTGTGGGATGTGTGTCTCAAAGGCTCTGGCAGGAAGGACAGATCCATGGGAATGGGACTCACTGACAGAGCAGACAGCCTTACTCTTCCATGCCAGGCCCGTCATGTGAGGCTGCCATCGTCAGCCCCTTCTGCCTTCCAGGAAAGGGGTCCCTTTGATATGCTTGGGCAGGGTGAGGATGTTGAGATGACCTGTATGAGACCAGAGTTGGGAATAGGTTGAAGTGGGGTAGGGTCAGGCTTATGCCATTATGATTCTTGAATGACTTCTGTTACTACTTCTCACAGTGAAAGTAAGTAACACACATTTTTTTCTTTTTCTTCCTTAGAAGACAAAAACACTAATGCATTTGAGAAAGTGGTAAAGTTGGGGGGGGAGGGGAAGAACCCTGCTTTCCTGATTTGCAACTTGCCTGGATGCTAAGATGTCGGTGGACATGAATAGCCAGGGGTCTGACAGTAATGAAGAGGACTATGACCCAAATTGTGAAGAAGAGGAAGAGGACGAGGACCCTGGGGACATCGAGGACTATTACGTGGGCGTAGCCAGCGACGTGGAGCAGCAGGGGGCCGATGCCTTTGATCCTGAGGAGTACCAGTTCACCTGCTTGACCTACAAGGAGTCAGAGGGCGCTCTCAATGAGCACATGACCAGCTTAGCCTCTGTCCTGAAGGTGAGCAGTGTTGTCAAGTCCAAGTGTAATCCTGCCGCCCCCCCCCCCCATTAAATCTAAACATGAGCTGTTGTTAACTAATTTTTCCTTCAGACGGATTGAATGGCCCTGTAGCTTGAAGTCAAATTTGAGTACATGTTGCATCATTTGGACACATTTGATGTGTTTACTTTGTTTTCTGGTATATGCATATCTAAGACCCTCAGATTCTCAGACTGCTAGAATTACAAAGGAGGGGTGGGATGGATTCAAGAAACTTAGACCAGAAATATATAGAAGCAGAATTGCACAGATTAACACTTGTTTAAGAAAGTGAGTCTATGAAACTTTATTGGGTAAAATCTGATAAGCATCAGAATCACCATCTTCTACACAACCACGTGTGAGTGCCTGATAAATGTGTGTCCTAAATAATCGGTGCCTCTGGGCTCATGATCTCATTTGTTTCATATACTGGTGACTAATCTGACGTTGGGAGAAATCTTACAGCTGTAACCTTAGGAATAAAGTCAGTTCTCATAGTTTGTATTCCACTGATTTGAGGGGGTTGTTAATACGGAAATTTTAAGGAATTAACAAAGTTGGTTATTCCAGCAAGAATCTTATTTTTAACACCTAACTAGCATACTTTCCTTTTTCTTTAAACTTTTATTGATTTTAGAGAGGAAGGAAGGAAGGAAGGGAGACAGAGAAACATCAATCGGTTGCCTCCCATACATGCCCGTACTCGCCCCGTATGCGCCCTGACTGGATGGAGCCCAAAACCTCGGTATATGCCCTGACTGGGAATGAACACGCAACCAACTGAGCCACCCGGCCAGGGTGCATACTTTTCACTGCCTTGCCCCGCAGCCAGTTATTGTCCTCACTGTGTCGGACAAAATGTATTTCGTTGTCTGCTTGAAATTGAAGTCAAAGATAGATTGGCTTATTTTACCCAAATATTACACTCGTACGTGGTATGCTCACCTAGAACACTGTGCACTATGCGTATTTTTACGGTCCTTTAGACAATTTCCCAGCTTGTTTCTTTCCCCTATAATGTTGCCCATTATGTGAAAATGGGGACATTTTTCTTATTTTACTGTTTTCACTGACCTTCCTTCAGGAACTATTAGATGGATGTTGTTGTCTGCTTGAAATTGAAGTCAAAGGTAGATTGGCTTATTTCAACCAAATAATCTTCTGTTAGTATTGGTAAATGGAAATAACAAAGGTGTGCTGTGTATGATTTCTGTAATAGTTTTCCAGTTTAGGGATTTTTTCCCCCCAGGTGGTCAGCAAAGGCTAATAATACCTTGGATATTATTAGATACTCAAGGGTTTATTAGCAACTAGCTGGAAGCTGAATGCTAGACTTTTTGTGTGACTCATTCATAAAAGCGATTGCAGACTTTCTCTTTGCTCAGCAGAGAACTCTGGGGAGTGAGCCCAGTGGAGGCCCGGGTGTGGGATTTCTGCACCGTAGCTCTAGCAGAGCTGCTGGGGCTCTGCTTCCAGAGGGCCTTGCCCAGGGGAAAGGAGGCATCGGGTCTCTTTCTTCCTCACCCTGCACACCTCCCTGTCTGCTCAGCCAGCTTCTTTTGCTTTAATCACATGGTCAGGTTATGCACAGTGTTGGTATTTAAAATTGGCAAAGGAGTTGTCAGGTGTGTGACTGGGTTCATCAGAATCTCTCCTTCTGGGCCTAGGAGTCTGTCTGTGAGCCCTCTGTGCTGACTTCCCTAACCTACTAGAGGCAGCGGGGCCCAGGCACCTCTCTCCGTCTATTGGGGGGGCGGGGGGGCGTAAAATAAATGTAACATCAGGTTTATCACTTACACCCTCCCTCCCCAGGCTGCCGTATGGTCAGCCCTCTGAGAGCCTTTGCTCCCTAGAAGGCCCTCCTGACCTCCCGGGACCCTCAGCAGTGCTCTGAGCAAGGCTGCTGTGAACCCCTGGAAAACGGTGGGTGTGCGCTCTTGGTCGGTGCCCAAACGGTGCAGCCCATCGCATTAGACCATGTACTGCAGTCTTCTGAGTGCTTTGTGTTGTATTACCTTTTACACATATTTTTGCGTGGTCTCTCCAACTAGATTGTCACTTCCTGGAGGGCAGGGACCACTTTGCACATTATCGCCCCCATCATTCCTGTCAGTATTTCATCCATAGTAGGTATTAAATCATTTCTTGGATACTTGTGGGTTTTGTCAACTCTTGAGGACAGTATCCGATGCTATTAGTGAGTTAGATTCCCTAGACCCTGCTGTACATCCTTGTCTAATGTCATGAAAAGGCATATTCTGGCCCTCAAGGTCATGAAAAGAAGGAAAAAGAACTTAGAATAGAGATGAAAGGATAAAAAGAGATGGAAGAAAGTTAAAACACAAGGAAAGAGTTCAAGAGAAAATGGGGCAGCCCTAGCTGGTTTGGCTCAGTGGATAGACCATTCTCCTGCGGACTGAAGGGTCACAGGTTCGATTCTGGTCAAGGGCACAGGCCCAGGTTGCGCCTTGGTCCCCAGTAGGGGGCGTGCAGGAGGCAGCCAGTCAGTGATTTCCCTTTCATCATTGATGTTTCTACTTCTCTCTCCTTCTCCCTTCTTCTCTGAAATCAATAAAAAAATATATATATGTATTTAAAAATTAAAAGTAAAGATCCTCTTTCATCATTGATGTTTCTATCTTTCCCTCTCCCTTCCTCTCTGAAATCAATTTATATATGTGTATATATAATCAATACACACACACACACACACACACACACACACACACTTAAAAAGAGAAAATGGGGCAAAAAGGAAAATATCCATGGAAATTTAGATGATACTGGAATATAGGTCCCCCCATCCTGGACTTCACTGAGGAGCATGTTCAGACTCCTCTCTCTCTGGGGCTGGGCCACAAGGGACCTGGCTCTTTCGGTGACTTGGCTGCACATAAAGGGACTCAGTGATGTTCTAAGTGGTTTGGGAGTTTGACCCAAGAGGCCGCAGAAATCGCATGTTGAATGAGAAAGGCGCATGGGCTTGGATTCATGGCAGGCCCGTCCCCCTGGGTCTCATCGTGCCCCGTGCCAGAGCACACTGGCCTGGAACCATTGCCCTGCCTCTGCCAGTAGGTTGCAGGCACTGAAATGGGTTACACAGTGGAAAAAAGAAAGAAGGAAGGAATCACATGTAATCTTCCTCTTTCAGGCTGGCTAAAAACTAGCATTTTTATTTTTATGATTAATATTTTTTGAGACAGAAGGGAATACTTTAAGTGTTGAGTTGGCAGAATGGTGTTCACAGGTGTTTTGGCTACTGGTTCCCCTGTTGCATGTCTGTCTGTGAGTGGAGATCAGTAGTCGTCACCCCGATCACTGCTGATTTCCCCCATTGGTCATGGCACTGTTTGTACCACTGTGTGACATACTGAGGTCTTTTATATGATTCAGGTGCTGTTGGGGCGAGTAGGGAATGTCACATGTATGATGTTTAAAATCATAGTGTTGGGAAGAGCTGCCTATGAACAAAAGCTATCTGAGTTTGAGGAGTGGCTTGAATTTTTCAGTGTTCAGGTCTGTCTGACTTCTTTTTGTGTGTTCTGGCAGTTGCCTATGGATGAGCCATAGTCTAATATAAAGTTGAGCCTTTCGGGATTTGATGTCTCTTAAGTAGAAAAACCCCAACTGTCTGAGGCACTGAGCTTTTGGTTTAGTGAGGACCTCTGGGGTGAGGGGAGGGCGTCCTGTGTGCGTTCTGGGACTAGCCCGTGAGTCACGTCATTAATGGAGAAAGGAAAGTGCCCAGAAAAGTAGATCAAGGACTGAGGCTCGACAATGGATGTGTTTAACACAAAGTACCTTCTTTTTAGCCTTCCTCTTTAAGTGGCACCAAGTTTTTTGTATATCTGACAATGACTTCAATTTTATTTATTAAATCAACTTTTTAATATCCTGATTTAGCAGAATTTTAATACTTTTATTTATATGGTGATTAATTAACTAAGTAATGGTGTTTTTTTGGTTACTACTTAGGGGAAAGTATCTTTAAGCTGAGCATAGTAACACTGTTTATGTGGTGAGCAGCCATCTGATTTCTATTTTAATGACTTGATGTCAGGTTTCTTTGCATGCCTGTATCTTAGAATCTAAATGAAATTCCTGTGTTCCAAATTGTTGGATGTTAGTGGGTGTGTGTATATACTCACGATGCTGTAGTCTGGAAGTCTGGTGTGTTGTACTGATACATAAGCTTATTTTTAAAAGGGAGATGAGACATGTCCAGAGTGACATTGGGAATTGCCTAAGTACACCCGTGCTAGAGTTGTCCCTATCTTGCCAGCTGACAAAGGTTATTGTCATCGTTGACTTTGTGTGCTCACTGTGTACTTGGCACCACATGCAACATGCCCACCGCCTTCCAGAAAGGAAGCCCTTCATCGGCGTCAAGGCCAGCTTCCTCGTCTCTCTATTGTGCTTTCACTACCTTAGGGACCACGTCAACCGCGTGTAAACAAGGGGTGATTCTAATCCACACTTGTGTTCTAGTCCTGGACTTATTTATATTTAAATGTTCTTTGTTGGTATTACTGCAATATTGAAAGAATATCATTCATAATTCCATTAACCTAAAATAAGTTTTCTTCCTTGTTTGTTATCCTTCAGGTATTGTCCATATTCATACATAACATTACTGTGCTGCAGTTCATTCATTCAACCAATATTATTGGCTACCAACTATGTGCCAGGCACTGGAAAAATAGCTGTGAACAAAATAGATAAAAATCCCTGTACTTGTCCACATTGCATTCTAGTACTCATTACGTACATGTATTTTCATGTATATTTCAATATTTCCGCATTTTTACTTCATTGTCATGGATTGCTTCAAATGGCTGTATAGTACACCGTCTTACTCCTGAACCATCATTTTCCCGGGTCCCCCTGTTGGGCACGTAGGTGCGTATGTACGAGTTGCAGCTGTGGGGGGAATGGCCAATCGCTGTGAGCGTGTTCATCGAGTGTGGCCTTTGTCT